GCCACTGTGTTTGCCTAAGCAGGCACTTTAATCCGCTGAGCTGTTTGGCTGGCACAGCAATCTCAGTTTTATATTGTAAAATACTGCAGACTTGGAAGGAATGAATACATATAATGCACCATTATATTAGCACTAACAAATCATCTTTATTTGATTTTTTAAAAATTTAATCTTTTACCAAAAGCAGCTTTATGAAAAAACTTTATTGTCTTGTTTTTGAAAACTTAAATACCTACTTTGGGCAATATTTATTAGGGTGTCTCCCATAAGATTATGTAGACTATAGGGGCTTCTCATTAATGGGTAAAAACTGGTTAATGTCCAGAAAGCTGCTTTTTATCCATCAATTGGAGTCTACTACAATAGTCTCTTTTCACCAAAAGATCTGTTTACTTATCTTATAACCTATGAAAATTAAATCTCAATACTTAACACATTAATATGAATAACTGAGAGACTCAAGTTATAATATATAGCCCATACATATTACGCTTACCAAACCAATTTTTATATCACTTAAATGAGCTGGTAACGAGGAAGAAAACATGTTTTTAAGTCTATCCCAAAGCTCAAATAGAAACAGGAACTGCTGTTCACACAATAATGTACTAATAGATAAACAAATGCATAGAACATACAAACTAATATCTTTACAAAATCAGAATGCACTCATATATTTTGTCTAAATTATATCGTACTAATTTTTTTAAAATTTGTAATGATAAAAAGACTAGTTAGAACTTTTTGCATGTCAGTTAGCAGAGATCTCTTATAAGAAGAATTTGGAGAACATAAAAACTTATTTACACTTAGTATATTTTTCTTTTAGGTTTAATACAGTGTATCAAGTTTGAGGAGGAGCAAGCAAACTTAGCAGAGTATGAGGATTAGGGACAGTATGGTGGAGAGAGAAACCATAGCATTGACAACTCACAAGTCATGGACGGGACAATATTTATTTGTCCTGGACATATGGACAGGCAAGAAGGGCATATTTCAGGGGGACTGACACTTTCTCCATATATAAGACTTAAACAGTCTTTGAATATAGGGTTTAACACCTTTTTAGTTTTTATAATCATTGGGTACTATCTCAAACAAACTGGTTTTAGATGTCCCATTAACTCCACCATTATTGGAGTTAAAAGACCTGGGATACTGTCTTTTGCCTAAGCTTTTGGAAAGACTGAGCATTCTCCAGTTTGCAAGTGGAACCATTGACTGGGTAACTACTGACAAATCTGTATCAGGATCTATCAAAATTGCGATCGTTTGCTTCTAGTTGTCCCCCAAAGCTTCATGTAAGTCATGGGGCAGATGTGGCTCGAGAAACAGCGTAGGGCTTGAAGCTCAAGGGGCCAAGCCAGAGGACCAGGGTGGGGCTTAAGGGGGTGGGCCAGATAAGTGCAAACCATTAAACCCACAGTACAAGGTTCTCCCCAACCTGTGGCCTCAGTGGGGTATGGAGCCACTGTGAGTTATGATCATCCTGGACACTTGGCAGCTCCCCAGCCCCTCCTCTTGACCCTGTAGTGCCAGGTGATAGCATGTGCAATTGAGGCCTCCTCAATCAGAGAGGAGATATTTGTAGAAGACAGAGGCACTAACCCTCTCTCCTGAGCAAATGAGGCTCTGAGGTCTTGCTGCATAACTCGGACTGTACTAAAGATGAAAACTCCAGCAACTGTGAGCTAAATACACCTTTCTTTTCCTCATTTTGAGTGCCAGGTATTTGTTCCAGAAATTAAAGAAGAGAAATTAAGACAAAAATTCTATCAGGCTTTTTCATAAATTGGTAATGAGTTAGTGCCCTGGGGCTTAGAAGAAGCGATCCATAACTTCATCAATCTGAAACTTTCTCTGATCCCATCACAAACACTTTCTTCCTTTCCCTCTCTAGCAGCCTCAGACATTTTTCCTTGAAATGTCCCTTCTCCCTGCAGTAGACACATTAGTCTGGATTCAGGGGAGTGGGACAACCATTTTCTGGATCCCAACTGACCTCCTTCCTATAGGCTGCCAGCATCATTTTCCTATTTTCTTGCCTACATTTTCATTGTGCATCCTCTCTACTATGAAACACTTTCTGAGTAAATTTATCAAGTGAGAAAAATTTATTTCTGCTGATTCCTCTAGCTTTTTCAGCTTGTGGTGGATATCTGGGACCAACTGATAGGAAATGAGACAGAATTTTTTTTTCCTGATTTATGCACAGGCTTTGGGAGGGCTTGGAAGCCACTGACTCAGAATCCTTTTCCTTTATTTTTATTGTTTATTCTTTTAAAAAAAATATTTGGTATAAGGTCTGGCTATACTACCCCGACCCCTAATGATCCTCCTGTCTCAACCACCCCATTGCTGGGATTACAGTTGTGCATCACTATGCCTGATTTCAGGGCCTGGATGGTGCACCCAGGGTTCCCAGGCCTGCAAGGCATGTGGTATTGGGGATTAAACCCAGACCCTTGCACTTGCCAGGCAGGTGCTTAGAACACTGAGCTATCTCCCAAATCCACAGTTCCTTTCTTGTGATACAAATGAGGGACACCTGCTGAGGTGGGTGAGGGAGAGGAGCAGAATTGGCAGGAAGAGTAGAATAGATAGTGCTGCTGTATCCTAGGAGTTCTCTATCTATGGAAGAATGTGCTGTTAGCTATTCCCAAATCCACCTATCTTTTTCCCAAAGTGAGAAATTTCGAAGAAGAAGAGACAAAGACTGCTTTTGGGATGATTGAGTTAGTGACCTGAATTGGGCAAACAAAAGGGGAGAGTAACATATAGATCTTTAAATGGGGTGCTAGTTGGCAGGAGTGTGAGCAAGTCCAGTGGCACTAGGATGAACAGGGAGGAGAGGAAGGGGAGATAGAAGTTTCAGATGGTAAAGGATGAAGGGAGATGTGGAGGGAGTAGAGGAGGTGGAGGAGTTGAGAACCTCAGAAGGCAAAAGTAATGCAGGAGGGTTCTAACTGATCTGATAGAGGACAGTGAGGAACCTGATTGGGTTCTGGGTACAGAGAGAGGTGAAAGCAAAAAGAGGTTCCTGAGGAGGTTCAGGTAAAGGAACTGGGGATGTGAGATGATCTAAAAGTATTTGAGTCACCACACATGCCTGAAGGAGGGAGGGGCATGTCCTTTAGACAATAAAGGCCTTTGTGTAAGGTTTCTATTGTCCCCTGAAATAACAGAAGTTTTTTCCCCCCATGAAGGATTAACTTTTGGGGATTTATGGCCTCCCTCAAGTTAAGGGAGCTAATATGTCTTATGTGAGGTCAGGAAGGAATATTTTTCACAGTGACAAAATCTGAGGTGAGCCAAGAGCCTCAAACTCTACAGAGAGATCATCATCTGCTCTAAGGGTATGAATATGAGAGAAAATTTCCATACCTGTTTTCATCAGTCATTACTGGTAAAGAAAGGGATCCCAAGGAAGGGAAGATAAATACACTCTATCAGAGTGTGAGGGCAGTAGACCTGCCATAGGAAATTGAGGGGAGCCTCCCCTGTCCAAGGGATGTGCAGTGGAATTCTTGACAGAGTCCCATGGTTTCAAAGCCTAAGAAACAGAAACTGAGACAGGAAAACCCAAGATCAGTAATGAATGTAAGCTATCAACAACAAATAGATGGATCCTAAAGGAAAGAATGGTGGCTCATAGACAAGGGCTCGGAACTGGGGTTTGACCACCAGGAATCACATGCCTTGTCTGAGTCATGACACCAAAATGTTAGGTTTCTTTGGCACAGTAGAGAGACAAAAGGAAAAAAAAAACCTTTATTGAGGAGACAGAGAGGATCACCAGAAGATGGCAGGAATCCTTTGACCTGAGACAAAGGGGAGGTGAGATTTCATGGATTTTTGCTATTAAAGGAGTTTGAGCAGCAGGTTCAGTGACATGTAAGGAGCTGAATGGGGCTCTCCTTGTGCCATGCGAAATGTAAAAGGAAATAGTGGTGGTCCCTGGAAAAACCCTGATCTTGGGGATTCTTGTCTCAGTTTTTCAATCTTAAGCTTTGAAACCATGGGCCCATATCAAGAAATCCAATGCACATCCCTTGGACAAGAAGGGCTACCTTCAATTTCCTACAGCATGTCTGCTGCCCTCAGGCTCTGATACACTGTATTTATCCTCCCATCCTTGGGTCCCTGGAAAGATAAGCTCTTTATTTATTTATCTTTTGATTCAGCCATGTTGAATCAGAGCCAGAATAATTTAGCAGTTTATACTTGGAACTGAACCTATTATTTCTAAGGCTTATATTAAATGTCTCCAGCAGTCTAATGGATTCAGAAGTGGGGTTTTGGAAGGGGAACATGTCATGTAATAATTACACTCATCAGTGCATGCTATGCCTGTCTACCATGTCATTTCAGACTTGCAGCCAAGCAACTTGAAATCTGTGAGCCTAAAGAAATATTCTATCCTATAATCTGCAAGTATCATGTATTCTGTCTCATCAATGGGAATTCTTTAAATATAGCAGGGTTTCCAGTATGTTAAGTAGGGCCTCAAGGATGAAAATTGTTATTGGAGATAATTCCTTGAACAAATAATAGGACTCCAACCCCACTCTACCTCCTTTGCAGCCACTGTGAGGTGGGCATCTTCCTCCATTCCATGCTGCTGCCATGCTCTATTTTACTAAAGCAAAAGTAACACTAACAATGCACTGAAAATTCTAAATCTTTCATGAAATCAAGAGCATCCCTACAAGTACACCTGATGCATTTCTACTGAAATTCAGTGAGATATTGTAAAATACAATTATTTAAAGTCATGTATGACATATATTTTTAAATCCCCTTTTATTTGAAATTGTAATGGGAGTAATTAAGTTGTTCTTTAGCAAATTACTTAGCTTAGGTGGTTATGTTGTATATATTCATAGCTTCAAAAGTAGACAGAAAACATGAGTATTGTTTGTCCATCACTGTAAGTTGATATTGCTAGGATTCACTCCTAAAGAATTTTCTCTGTTCTTGTTTCCTGTTCCTTTTGTGCATCAAATCGGACAGGTAGAATTTTCCAAGAGCCAAGGATCAATACACTGAACATGAAATTCATGTGAACATGGCAGTGTGCGGATCACACTACTTTCTGTGTACTCTGTAAGGCAAATATTACAGAACTTCCCAGTATCCGTTTTGCCAAATATTCTTAGTGGAAGGTTGTCAATCTCTTGTTTCATAAGCCTTCGAGGTGGGAGAAAAATATTTTCATCACTAAGGAATGGGTCATCTAAGATTTGCAAGGCTTCAATTTCATCAAATAGTTCAAAGTGTGAATGCTGACTTTCATGTTGGGGCTGTGATTGAGGGTCTAATGATTCACTTCTTTCATTAATGCCTTCAAGAGTCACTGAGTCAATTTTAGGATTTTCACTAGGAGAGCTAGCAGAGAGATTAGGGCAACTACAAAAACTAGTAACAAGCCTGAAGCTTGAGTTGCAAGTAGTTGCACCACAATACAGTTCAAAACTGGGATTTATATGGGAACTCTCTGTTCTGTTCTGTGACTCTGCCTTTTGTATTCTTTGAGCTAGGGATAAGCCAGTACTCTGTAAATCACTACCAGTGTTGGCAAAGATACAGGATCCATCACATCCTGTCATTCTCTGTCCTGATGTTCTTGTAAGAGCTGCAGTAGAACTTCTGCCATTTAAACCAGTATTTGAATTTCTGAATGCAGGTATTCTGAGGGTACCTACATCACTTATTATACCTGTCTCTTCAACATGTGAAGGCATATTTCTCATGGCTTCTTGAAGCATTTCTACATTGTCACTGTTATCCACTTCCTCAGACATCAGTAACTTTACTCTATCACTTATATCATCTGAAGGATCATTTCCCACAAAACATATGATTTGGAGATCAGGAACTAGGTAGGTCCGTCTTCTTTTAAATCTCTCACGAATATTATATACAAATCTGCATACAGAAGGTTCTTCTTCATAATCAGTGCTTAGTCCAGAAGCTGCAGAATTACGTTCACTTTGAAATGGACATCTGATTCTTTCCTGTATCAATATCTTATGTGGTTCATTTACAGAAAATGTCTTAGTGTCACTTATGGATGACCTCTCAAAAGTCTTAGTTAATGTACTATCAGGTGATCTCATTACAGGTTCAGTTGGTATATTTGGATGTGAACTAACTTTGTGTCTTCTAGATCTGTGAATTCTTTGTCTCCACCTTCTTGATCTTCCTGTTCTGGGAGATGGGTCTTCCACTAAGGCTTCAATCAAACTTTCTTCTGACTCAGATGAATTTGCAAGATTTAAATTAGACTGTAAATTTTCCACATGTTCGTTGAATCCTGCTACATATGACAAAAATTCATGCTTGAAATTTGTTCTCATTGAATAATCACTACTTGAGTTACATTGATTTCCTAAGTTCCACATTGTATCATCTGTTTGCCCACTTTCTGTTGTATATTCAGTTTCATCAAAACACATAATCTCCACTACTTCACAGTAATCTGGAGCAACTTCTGTACCTGTTACCATAAAAAGCAGGAGATCATAAAAGACATAATATTAAAACAATCATAAAATACTACTGTGTAATCAATCTTTTTTTAAAAAATATGAAAAGAATGAATGCTTACAGATTTGATGATTTCAGCATATTTTACATTTACACATTTAACACTTTTGTAAATAACATTGTCCAAATTCATTTGCGAGCATAGAGTCACTTCAACTCCATTTGAAAAAAATATTTAGCTACACCTTCATAAGTTCATAGACTTAAAATGAATCTCAAATAACCCTATATTTAATATTTTTCTCAAATAGAGTATCATGTACCACTGTGAAGGGTATGTAAAAGGATATTTAATTTAGTATAGTGTTCAAGCACTAATACAATTAAATAAGGTAACCTCAAAATATGTTTTTAGCATTTTAGTTCAAATTATTATACATTAGTGTCCAATCTTCATTAGTCTACCATCATATTTCTAGCTTCTTGACTGACTGTTTTGATAATATATGATTACTTTATAATATGCAACTCTCATAGGCATTGACACAATTAAACAAGAGTTGTGTGTTTCAAATCATTTAACTAGAATTCCATCATAACTGATTAGAGGTGCAATAGTGGAGATATTTAGTGAAGTGTCACAAAAAACTATAGGTATTCTGTGATATGGGAGGCAATCATATGCTGAAATGAAAGAGCAATCAGAAAGATAAATCCTTGAAATCAAAACCAAGTATCTGGGTTCTTAAGTAAGTGAAGCAGATTTGAAACTGGGCAGTGCCACCCTGGAAACCCTTCATAGAAGGAGCACAGTATCTAGGGAGTAGTCAAACAGCAAGAGGGAAGAAGACAGCACTGTATAATCCAGACTCCTATAATAAATTCCCTACATAATTCCCCCTCCTACCTAGAAAATAAAACCCAGCACTGCAGTACAATTTGTTAAGAGCCCCAGGAAAGCCAAAAATTGTAAATGTGAAAAGGAGAGTTAGCAACAGGCAAATGGGTACTGCCCTCCCCCATCCTGCCAAGCACTGAGAAGCTCTGTGCTTTAACAGAATCCTACACACAGCCAAACCCCTGGCATGTACAAATTCCTCTGCTATAGTTAGAAAGAGACCTAACTGTGAGAACTGTGAATTATAACAACCCTACTGGAAGATACCAATGGAACACATACCTGGAGACACTACAGAGTGGAGAGAATGAACAGAATTAATCCAGATCAAGTGATTTCCTGCTCTTTTCTCCAACATTGCAAAGATTTAAGTTAGTGAGAAATCCCATCTACTGCCTACTTTCTTGCATAGGCAAAGCAGGCCCTCTGTCATGACCAGAACTATATCAAGATCCATGGATTCGAAAGTGGAGATTTTGGACAGGGTTAGATGGGAATCTAAGTGCAAAGGAACATAAGGACTTGGTTGGAACTGAGAACTTCCCACAATACATAAGGAAAAGAGCTCCTACAAGAACACTGACACAAAATGAGATTTGCACAGAAACAAAGGGAGCTAGACTCAGAGGAAATTTATACAAGGTGAAAGGAACCTGAATGCAGGTAAAATATTTACATATTCCTCTTTGAAAACTAATTGAAGTAGGTAACATCACATGTCAATAAATGTCAATGCATCTCAATTATAGCCATTAATGTAAATGAACTAAATTCATCAATTAAAGAAATATACTGGCAGAGTGGATTAGGAAGGAAAGTCCAACTCTCTGCTGTATGCAAGAAACACAATTAAGTGGCCAGGGAGATGGCTAAGTAGAATAAGCGCTTGCCAGGCAAGTGCAAGGGCCTAAGCTCAATCACCACTTCCGCAAGAGAGAGAGAGAGAGAGAGAGAGAGAGAGAGAGAGAGAGAGAGAGAGAACAAAAGAAAAAAGAAACACATTTAACTCATAAAGAAATTCATAGGCTGAAAGTCAAATGGTGGAAAACAATACTATGTGCCCCAGGACCTAGGAAAAAACAGGGGTAACAATCCTGTTCTCAGACAGTCTCAACATCAAACCATGATTTCTCAAATGAGATATTGAAGGCCACTGCATACTGGATAAGGAAAAAATCCAAGGAGGAAAGGTAACACTCATGAATATGTAGGCACCCAACACAGGAGCACCCATCTATATAAGACAAATCCTAATGGACTGAAAAACCTAATATCCAATACCACAATATTAACAGGAGATCATAACACCCGCTTATCACAAAACGATAGGTCAAGCAGACAAGCAATTAGGAAAGAAGTAGCAGAACCGAACCAGAACTTGGAACAAATGGAGTTAGTGGACATATACAGAGTGTTCTACCTAACTACAGTTGAATACACATCTGTTCCTGCTGCACGTGGGTCATTTTCTAAAATGGACCACATACTAGTTAAGTATAGGCAAGAAAACAGAAATTATTCCATGCATATTATCTGACCACACTGCAAAGAAACTGAAAATAAATGGCAAAAAAGCCAGAAAAACCCCATAAACACATGGAAATTAAACAGCACTCTTCTCAGCAAGCAATGGATCACAGATTAAGTTAAACAAGAAATTGACCAATATCTACATTTCAATGAAAATTCAAGCACAACTTATCAGAATTTATCAGACGCCATGAAACCAGTTCTTAGAGGGAAATTTATACCTGTGAACTCACACATTAGGAAAACAGAATGGGAACAAATAAATACCCTAATACTTCAACTGAAATGTCTAGAAAAAGACAAACAAACCAAATCTGAAGCCTAAAGGCTGGAGGAAATGGTAAAAATTAGAGCAGAAATTAATTCACTTGAGACAAAGAAAATAATACAAAGAACGAATGAGTCCAAAAGCTGGTTCTTTGAAAGATTAAATAAAATTGATAAGCCCCTATCTAACTTATAAAAAAGAGGAAAGAAAAAACTCAAATATTAGCAATAAGGAATGAAAAGGGTGAAATTACCACAGACCCAGTGGAAATTCAAAGATCGTTAAAACCTATTATCAGAAACTTTAAACACACAGAATGGAAGACACAGAAGAAATGGACAGATTCCTAGAAAGGTACAAATTACCAAAACTGAATGAAGAAGATGTAAGAACTCTCAAAATCCAATAGCAGCCAATGAAATTCAAAATGCAATAAAAAAAATACCTACTGACCAAGAAAAGTTCTTGTCCTGATGGATTCACAGCTGAATTATACAAGGAATTTACAGAAGAATTAATAACAATACTACTCAAACTCTTCAATGAAATTGAAAAGGAAGAAATTCTCCCAAAATTATTCCTGGAGGCAAGTATTATACTGATACCAAAACCAGGGAAAGACACAACTAAAAAAGAGAACTACAGGCTAATCTCCTTAATGAACATAGACGCAAAAATCCTAGTAATTAGAATATAGAAAATGATCAAGAAGATCACACACCATGGTCAGGTAGCATTCATCCCAGGGATGCAAGGATGGTTCAATATACACAAATCTATAAATGTAATATGCTATATCATTAGAGCCAAATACAAAAATTACATCATCATCTCAATTGATGCAGCAAAGGCTTTGACAATGTCAACACTCATTCATATTCAAAGTCCTACAGAAAATTGGAATAGATGGCCTCTATTTCAACATGATAAAAGCCATCTATGACCACCCAAAGGCTAACAGAATTCTAAATGGGGAAAAACTGAAATCTTTTTTTCTCAGAACTGGTACAAGACAAGGATGTCCTCTATCTCCCCTCCTATTCAATATAGTTCTGGAATCATCAGCGAGAGCCATTAGACAAGAGAGAGAAATAAAAGGAATAAGAATACGTAAAAAAGAAGTTAAAGTATCATTATTTGCAGATGACCTGATACTCTACTTGGAAGACACAAAAAAAATCCACAAAGAACCTACCAGAATTAATACATAAATTCAATAACATACCAGGATACAAAGTAAAAGACCAAAAATAAATTGCATTGCTCAAAAACACAAAGAGAGAAATCAGAGAAACAATACCTTTCACAATAGCACGATGGAAAATGAAATACATAGGAATTAATCTAACTAAATAAGTCAAATATCTATTCAATTAAAACTACAGTGCTCTGAAAAAAGAGATTGGATAGGATTTCAGAAAATGGAAAGGCATTCCCTACATCTGGATAGGAAGAACCAACATTGTGAAGATGGCCATACTCCCAAAATTGCTACAGAGATTTAATGCAATTCCTATCAATATTCCACCAATATACCTCATGAGAAATCATTAGAAATCAATAGACCATGAGAAATCATTCCTAAAATTTATTTGGAATGACAAAGACTGAGAATAAGGCAATCCTGAGCAACAAGGACAAGGCAGGAGGAATTACAATTCCTGACTTAAACTTATATTACAAAGCTACTGTAATAAAATCAGCATGTTATTGACAAAAAATACACGTTAGATTCAGTGAAACAGATGAGAAGATGTAAAAGCAATTGCAAACATACTCAACCACCTTATGCTTCAAACAGTTGCCAAATATGCATACTGGGAGAAAAATAGCCTCTATATCAAATAATATTGGAAAAACTGGTTCTCTACATGCTGAAAACTAAAACTTGACCCAGGTCTATCATCATGCACTAAACTAAAGTCAAAATGCATTAAACATCTAAACATTAACCCATAAACACTAAATCTCCTGGTAGGGAAAGAAGGAGGAACTCTTAAAGACATCGGGCTAGGCAAAGAGTTCACAAACAAAAATCAAACTGTACACGTAACACCTCAAAGGATTAACAACTGGGACTTAGTCTTATTGAAACGTGTTTGCATGTCAAAAGAAATCATGAGCACAGTGAAAAGACAATCCAGAAATTGGTGAAAAATCTTAACTAATAAGCACTCAGACAAATGTCTTCTCTGTAGAATTTATAAAGAATTAAAGACATTCTGGTCCCAAAGTTTAAAGACCCAATCCAGAAATGGGCATCCGAGATGAACACACACTTCTTAGAGGGAAAAATTCTAGAAGCTAATAAATA